TGGAGAGATGGCGCCACCAAGATGAAAAAATTCAAACCCTAAATTCTCCTTTTTTTTCTGCATATTAATGTAATTTAACGTAGCCATTAGCATAACTCAGCTTCTAGTTGTTTATTTGTACAGTAATAATTGCCTAATGCCCGGTTTTTTAATTAACAAAAAATACCAAAAATGTGGTGCTATCTAGTGTCAGGAAGTGAGAACTATTTCACAACAAACTTGAGCGGTTCGTGGAGAGATGGCGCCACCAGTATGAAAATATAAAAAACATATATTCTCTACTTTTTTTCTGCATATAAATGTAATTTTACATAACAATTATCATAATTCAACATTTACTTGTTGATTTGTAGACTAAGAATTGACTGACATGTTTTATAAATAAATAAAAATACAAAAAAAATGTGATACCATCTCTTTCACAATCCACCATCTATCCTTTCAGAGGGGACATCGGAGTGCAAAGGGTCGGCAAGATTAAATACACACGTGTAATCTAGGTTTTTATTTTGATAATACAAAGTAATATTAAAGTTGTTGTTTCAAAAAGAAACTTTACGATCTTCTTTCACAATAATTCGTGACTCAAAAGGCTACAAACTTATTCCTTGAGTACCTGCAATCAATTTGAACTACGAGAATCTCGTAATTGGTAGCGAATGGGTTAAACATCTGGTTAAACTTCAACGGCTTATATCTCGATAACAAAACCGCAGTTCGCAAATTAATAAAGACCTTTTCGATTCGTCCTGGTACCAGCAACACCCTCTAATATCCAGTGATAGTAGTTTTCAGCGATTGGATCCACTATCCAGATACCCGAGTCTCGAATAATAATCTTCAATGGATCGAAACTTCGTTGCTCGAAGTCTCACCGTTCGCGAATTCTGAATAAAAAAGTCCGCATTCCAAAAATTCAATCCCTGGTTCGGTGTTCATCGGCGTTCCTCGACTATTGTCGTGTTCGCGACAAAGAGAACGCGTGGCGTGCACCGCGAAGGAACCCGGCGCCACGAGCAGCGGCTATGACCCGTTCCGTCGACAGACTAAAATCAGACATCGCCGGGTGAGAAGTTATGGCGCCATCCTCGTCGCGTTTATCGCTCTCTTTCTCTGTAACGAGCTATTGCAATTGCCCGCCGGTCGAGTGGTGGACGGACGGCTGTCGCGCGCTTCGCCTACATCGCGCGTACGTCGTGCGCGTAATTCTTTCGCAATAATAATAATAATAATAATAATAATAATAATAATAATAATAATAATAATAATAATAA